ATGAACTCAAAGTCAAAACCCTTAAAGTCAACGGAAGAGCCATGAAACCTCTCTGGCTTAAAACACTCAGCATCTGCTCCCCACATCTCTGGGTCTCTTCCTATTGCACATAGATTAATAATTACTTTTGATTTAACTGGTACATCGAATCCGCTAATTTGAACCGTGTCCCTTGCTTCTCTTGGGAGCAAAGGGGCTGGAGAGTGTAACCTCAGAGTTTCTTTCACCACCGATTTCAAGTAGTCCATTTTTTGAACATCTCTTTCTTCAATAACTTTGTTTTTCTTTCCGTCAGATTGGAGGACTAACTGTCTCACTTCAGATTGAGCCCTCTTCATGACTCTTGGGTTTCTCATCAACTCTGACATTGCCCATTCTAAGGTAGTAGCTGAAGTCTCGCTTCCTGCACCGAAGATGTCCTGCACGTAACAATTTTTTTTTGACTGAGTTAGACCATAAGGACAACATTGGTGTGTGGGACATAATGTGCAGCATGACAATAATTGATCTTCAATGTGTGGGACCAAAATCATGCATGAGTTTCGAAAACGCGAGCAACCATTGGTGATAAAACCCCCTTCATATATTTTTATAAAGTAATGAATGACGACGAAGATGAAATGTTTACAGTGCAACAAGGCAAGCCAACATTACTCACCAGAATGATATCTTTGATCTGATTGGTTGTGAAGTTGAACTCCGCCTTATTGGACTCTTTCAGTTTTAGAAGTACGCCAACAAAATTTTCCTCCTCCTCCTCCTCCTCCTCCTCCGCTTTGTCATTGCCTGCTGTAGTAGTATTAGCACTACTGATCTTCAAGTCCTTTTTGGATCGTTTGATCTTATGATCGTTGATGATATTTTCGAGAATTGTACCGAGCTTGCTTTGTACGTCTTTCATAGCAGGGATCGACCCAGTAATGAATCCAAGAAAACTGAGTGAAGGAAACAAATCAGGAAGATCAAACCCGCTAGCAAGTTTGGCTGATTCGTCTAGTAGCGAAAGGAACTCCTTTTGGTCTTTGCAATTTTTCCCAAATGCTGCGTTTGACACTACGTCATTTGCGAAGCAGCAGCACCTGTCACTAAAATTGATGGCAAGTCCCTTGTGAGACATTGAGCCAATGGACTCCATAAGATTCCGTACCTCTTCTTCTCTTACGGATCTGAAAGACTGCACACGTTTGGCGCTTAGTAGCTCGAAAATGCAAATCTTTCTCAGCGATCTCCATAAATCTCCATAAGGAGCAAAGATAATACCTCCTTGACCAAAAGACATAACCTCTGCCGCCAAAACAATAGGCCTCTGCGCAAATGCAAGCTCATGTGTCTTCAACACCTCCCGGGCAGCTTTGGCAGATGAAATAATCACGGCCTCTAATTGACCCAGTTTAAGGTGCATGATGGGTCCATGTTTCTTGGCCAAGTCTCTCAATGTGTGGTGTGGCAGTGGACCGACCATTTGATGCAAGTTTCCAATAATCGGCAGCTTCCATGGCCCTGGGGGTGACTTCAGGCCTCTGGCTCTGGATCGCTTCCAAAAAATCACCAGGATGCAGACAAGGAGAGAAGTGAAAAAAGAAAAATAGGGCGTTTCGACAATTAGAAACATAATTTGATTCAGATAAGCTGTGATCACTTTCATCATAAGATTTTGGGGTATTTTACTTGCAAATCAAAGCTCTTAAATTTGGACCGATATGTTGAAAGTGCTTAAGATCTTCTCAACTTAAATTTGTTTTGGATTGGAACAAAAAATTAAAAAAATAAAATCATGCGGAGTCAACTGTGGAACAACAAAATAAAATAAGTGCATTTGGAGTGTAATGTGCAAAGCAAGTTAAAATATTCCACAATAATGCAGGATACATTTTCCACACCAGATGTATGCTCTAGCTGGACGCTTAAGTTAGACTGTACAATTTTCTATTTGCAAATGTGCAAAGCAAGTTCACAAGATGCACACCCATTTTTACTACAGGTTCATGATAATTTCTGTTTTTTTTTTCTTGAATTTATTCGATCCACAGCCATAAATTAAGAAGGGTGCGTGAGAGGTAAAATGAGGTGTACAGATAACACCACCATTTGAAATACATTATCAACATGATACTAAGTCCAATGTCGGAAGAGATACAAATTCTGGAACCCCCTCCCGAACTATTAAAAAAATTCTTTTGAGTGAGATTGTAACACCGCCACTCTGTTGTTAACTCTGCTCAATTATATTAAAGTGTTTTATTCATGAATATTTTACCTAAAGTACAAGCATGAAGTCTGTCTCCACTTACATTGTAACACACAAAAATTAAATATATAACTTGCACATATCAAGTGTCACCCAATAATTGATCAATTTTAATGTGATCAATCGATTGGTATTCAAATCAGACAGTTGACTTGTTTGTCCATAACCACAAGTTTGGTAATAAGCCTTAACATTTTTTGTTAATATAATTCAGTAACAATGAAAAATATATATTTTTAGAGTTGGTTTTGACTTTGTCAATAATAATGTATAAAATGGGTTTGATCTGATATTATTTTTCCCTCTGGTTCTAGCTATCTTTTCAACCGTCTGTAACCCACAGCGTCGCCCTTCGCTTTCAATTCTGTTATGGCCTTGAACAACAAAAAGGGATAGATTGCACACCACTTTATTGATGACTTCTTTTCAAGTAGTTACCGTTTGGTTTATTCGGCACTCAACGGAAAGAGATTCTCTCCGGATCTCTTTTATCAAGGCCATTGAATTAAGTGATCCAGATCTTTGAAATTTTATCCAACAGTAAAAAATTATTATAGTTTTTAAGGGATCAAAACAGGTGGACCGTTAAATGAAATTTCAAAAACTCGGATTACTTAATCCGGTAACCTTGGTGGAAAGAGATCTCCGCACTTGACCTCGGTGAAAAAGACCAAAAAACGTTTTCGCATGCCAATCATGTGCTGTTATAAAATATATTAAAAAAAAAAGACGACAAGATTCCTTTCTTTTCTTTTTGGACTTTCATGTTGATTAATTGGAGGTTTAAATTTTGAACTAGAACTTGTGTGCCGGTGCTTTTAAAATTACTGAAATCGGTTTTAAAGAAAATATTTTAAAATTTCAAAAGCATTTTAAGTGTTTTTTCATATTTTACCAAGGAAGCACTTCCACACAAATGTCTAGTTGTCACATGTAGTCTAATTCTATTATATACATAAACTGACTATTCATATACAGGAACTAGAAAAAATATTGGCTGGAATCATGATCGATGAATATGTTGTTGGGGAAAAAGAGAGGGAAATTCAAAGCTCCAGTTACCAATCAAGTGGAGTAGGAGTAGGAGTAGGTAGGTGCTATGGGTTTTGGGTTGCATCATGACTGCTGTAATGCTAAATGCTATAGCGACCACCATTGCCAGACCTGATACAATTGTTGTCGGCAAACAATCTACATTTGGGCATAGCTGCTTTTGGCACAGTACCATGTACTATGATGTTGGAGTTTGCAGAAGCTTGTGATATAACTGATGCAGAACCGAGTTACAAGTACGAGTGGGGTGAGCTAAGAAATGCCAACAGAAGGGTGTTGCAGATAACAAAACCATAATTCCCGGATGCAGGTTGCAAGAGAGTACATCTAAAAGGATTCTCAACATACCAAGTAGAAAATTGGTTACAGTTCAGAGTATAGTATTGTCGATTCCCAACTAATTCAACACAGATTCTGAATTAGGAAATTCAGTTTATGGGCGTATGGACGAATGAGACTGTCATCGAAGCCACTTACAAATCATCCTAATCGTTCGTATATCGTGCGGCCAGTTTTCGTCAAGTACCATTTGTGTTTAATTTTAAATAAAGAAAAGTCAAATGACTTTTTATCGCACGATACACGATGAATAACTAAGATGTGAGGATCCCTAGGATCCCCACAATTTAGATCCGGATGGGATCCAATTCCAGTGTAAACATATGAGTGAGACCATCACAATGACCTTTTCGGATCGAGGTGGTCTGGTCACTTGATTGCTTAAGTTAAGTTGCATTGATGAGTGATTCCCTAACATTTTTTGGGTCATTAACTAATATATGATCAGAAATTAGCATCAAATTAACCATTCTTTAATATGTGATTAGAACGTAGCACCAAATTAGTTAGCTAAGCTTACTCATTTTTCTATTTCTTTGCTTACCAAATTTAGTTTATGAGTATCAAATGTCAATGCATGGATGAGTGCAATATTCTAGTCGATATTGTGATGAATTTTCACCTGATTAAGCTGTCTTATCCAAATTTTTCTTCTTATCAAATTCAATTTAAAAAACTTAAGACGCAAATTTCCATATGACACAATTGGAGATATAATGTCTCATATGAACTAAAATCAAATAAGACTAAACCGTTAAACAGTTGATTGATTTGATGGGATTCAAGAGTGAAACCAATCCAAATCGTTCAACTAGCGCTCGCCCTAGAGTATTAATATCATCCCTAACTTATTGATGAATATTTATTCATATATATTATGAATTATTAGTCCAAATTCAGCACGTATTTTGAATAATTCAAATATAATATCTATTAGCAGGACACCCGGAATCTTTAAACTATTTTTAACGGAGTACTTAAGTTTAGCGTGATAATTTTTCTATTTGTCTGCCTAACAGACCGAATAATTAGCAAATTCAGTCAAGATTCAGTACAATCGCGATCCGATAACTTTAATATTGTTAATGTGTAAAATCTTGAGGCCGAGCCGGCTTTAGCCTCTGGTTCCCAGCGCCGACCTCGATCGTACTCAACCCAAGTCATGTCTTGTTCATCGTCTCAGGCAATCGTTGTGGACAACAAATTTTGGAAGAAGAAGAAGAAGAAGAGCAAGAAGAGTAGCAGTAGAGTAGTAATAGGGAGGGGCATTTTGTAGCTTCAGACATTTTGAATATTGGAAAGACAAGTACTGGCATATATTGGTAAGGGATTAGTACGTATTATCAACGTAAAAGTAGCGTTCACCAAAAGAACACACACAAGTACATATATTATTGATCTGAATAACAAGTTTACATCTTAGGGATACATATTATACATTAATCATGCCTTATTAAGCAAGTAATAATTGAAAAGACCGGAAGAGCGCGCTAAAGCCTTAGATTTAGACAATCTGCAAACTGCAGGGATGAAAATCATCGCACTCGAAAATATGGGAACGAAAGTGGGACATTGCGAAGACTGATGGGACTGAAAACGTGTTTTAGCCTGTAAAAGAGGGAATACAGAAGTGAATGAACAATTGATACCTGATAAACCAGAATGGAGCTGGTTTGTTGGCCGTTCATGGCAACAAAACGCCGAGTCAATCTGACTCGCCGAGTGAAGTAAAATGTGGGGTGGCGATTACGTACAAAGCATTCTTTTTCCTACAGCTCAGTCCAAAGCTCTCTCTCATGTCAAGTTCGTCTGGATTCATCCCATTTGCCAGTTTCCAATCGAAGCGGTAGAGCAATTCAGCAAGAGCAAGTTCAATCATGTTAACACCAAATGACATGCCTGGACATATTCTTCTGCCGGCCCCAAACGGAGTGAACTCAAAGTCAAAACCCTTAAAGTCAACAGAAGAGCCATGAAACCTCTCTGGCTTAAAACACTCAGCATCTGCCCCCCATATCTCCGGGTCTCTTCCTATTGCCCATACATTAATAATTAGTTTTGATTTAACTGGTACTTTGAATCCGCCAATTTGAACCGTGTCCCTTGCTTCTCTTGGGAGCAAAGGGCCTGGGGCGTGTAACCTCAGAGTTTCTTTCACCACCGATTTCAAGTAGTCCATTTTTTTAACATCTCTTTCTTCAATAACTTTTCTTTTTTTCCCTTCAAATTGGAGGACTGACTGTCTCACTTCAGCTTGAGCCCTCTTCATGATTCTTGGGTTTCTCATCAACTCTGACATTGCCCATTCTAAGGTAGTAGCTGAAGTCTCGCTTCCTGCAGAGAAGATGTCCTGCACATGACAATTTTTTTTTGACTGAGTTAGACCGTAAGGACGACATTGATGTGTGGGGCAAAATGTGCAGCATGACAATAATTGAGTTTCAATGTGCGGGACCTAAATTATGAGTTTCGAAAACATAAGCAACCATCTGTGATAAAACCCCTTCATTTATTTTTATAAAGTGATGAGTAATGACGAAGATAAAATGTCTGCAGTACAACAAAGCAAGCCTATATTACTCACCATAATGATATCTTTGATCTGATTGGTTGTGAAATTATACTCCACCTTGTTGGATTCTTTAAGTTTTAGAAGTACGTCAACAAAATCTTCTTCCTCCTCCTCTGCTTTGTCCTTGCCTGCTGTAGTGGTACTAGTACCACTGATCATCAAGTCCTTTTTGGATCTTTTGATTTTATGATCGTTGATGATATTTTCGAGAATCATACCGATCTTTCTTTTTATGTCTTTGAGAGCAGGGATCGACCCAGTAATGAACCCAAGAAAACTGAGTGAAGGAAACAAATCAGGAATATCAAACCCACTACCAAGTTTGATTACTTCGTCAAGAAGGGAAAGGAACTCCTTTTGGTCTTTGCATTTTTTCCCAAATGCTGCCTTTGACACTACGTCGTTTGTGAAGCTGCAGCACCTGTCCCTAAAATTGATGGCAAGTCCCTTGTGAGACATTGAGCCAATGGTCTCAACAAGATTCCATACCTCTTCTTCTCTTACGGATCCGAAAGACTGCACACGTTTGGCGCTCAGAAGCTCGAACATACAAATCTTTCTCAGCGATCTCCATAAATCTCCATAACGAGCAAAGAAAATACTTGCTTGACCAAAAGACATAACCTCTGCTGCCAAAACCATAGGCCTCTGCGCAAATGTAAGCTCATGTGTCTTCAACACCTCCTGGGCAGCTTTGGCAGATGAAATAATCACGGCGTCTAATTGACCCAGTTTAAGGTACATGACGGGTCCATGCTTCTTGGCCAAGTCTCCCAGTGTGTGGTGTGGCAACGGACCGACCATCTGGTGCAAGTTTCCAATAACAGGCAGCTTCCATGGCCCGGGGGGTGACTTTAGGCCTCCGGCTCTGGATCGCTTCCAAAAAATCACCAGGATGCAGACAAGGAGAGAAGTGAAAAATGGAAAATAGGGCGTTTCGTCAATTAGAAACATAATTTGATCCAGATAAGCTGTGATCAATTTCATCATACGACTTTGTGGTATTTTTGCTTTGCAAATCAAAGCACTTCAATTTGGATTGATTTGTTAAAGTGCTTAAGGTCTTCTCAACTTATGGATCCCCCTCAACAACTAATAAACAAAATCTTTTGGATTGATATGTTGAAAGTGATTAAGGTCTTGTCGACTTAAATACTAGTTTTGATTTGTTAAGTGTAAAGTGTGTTAGGCGCCTAAGTTTGGCAGGTTCTTGCACGCTCACCTCTTCCATAAATACTTTGGCCTGCCTCTTGTACAAAATATAGATGAAATATGAAATATATTACCATTTAAAATCAGAAATTCTACATGATTGGAACAACAACAAAAAAATTAAATCATGTGGAGTGCTACTTGTGGATGCAAATTTCTTCCTCGTTGATCTTGGACAGTTTTGCATCTACAAAATAATTAACACCTTAGGTTAAAGCCAAGAGCATCACGCGCCCACGTTGAATGGGGATGGTGGCTTTGGCCGAAGAACCTCCGATGCCAAAGTTAGAATTTAGAGAGAAGTGTTTAAAAAATTTTGGAATTTTTGCCAAAGTGTTGGAATTAGTTTTTGGTGAAAATAGGAGCCTATTTATAGGGCTAGGCTTGGCCATTTTTTCCAAGGAATCGCCGGCCCTTGAAGGAGTTTTTGTGGTTGAGATTTTGGTTTAATTAGCCAATTTATTGGCTAATTAAACCTTAAAGAATAAATTGGTGGTTACATATTTATTTAGAATAAATTGATAATTAGGTTATGAAAAGGTTATAAAGAATAACTAAATAATTAGCTAAAAGGGTAAGGAAAGGTAGGAAATAGGATGGATCCCTTTTTAGATGGGGATGGCCGGCCATTGATGTGGTTTTGGGTGGTTTATTTGATATAATGGGTGATTAAATTGGTGATTAATGGATTAATTAGGAATTAATCCATTAATTAGCCAATTAATCTCTATTTATATGAAATAATTAGTAGGTTATGAAGTAATTACCTAAGATGAGGATGTATGAGATAACTATGAATTTGTTACCTTCCTTTGGGCACTTTTAACTTGGTTTAGGGATGATTGCCCGCTGCTCGCACATAGGAATCTCAGTATGCCTCAAGGGTATTTTTGTCCTCTTTTACCCAAGAATCCACGTGTTGCCTTGTGATTATTTTTTGCTCCACACTACTATGGAACAACAAAATAAAATACATGCAGTTGGAGTGCAATGTGCAAAGTAAGTTCATAAAATATTACATAATGCAGGAGACATTTTTCAACCAAGATGCGTTGTAGATGGATGCTTAAGTTAGTTGTATAATTTTCTTTTAGTCAATGCAAGAGTGGTGCTATTCACGCATTCTGTTTTTACTTCTCATGCACCCACATTAATGCTAATTAGGGTTTATTTTGGGGTTTAATTTTCTGATATTATTTTTCTCACCAAGGAGGAAAAATATATATTGTACAAGATTGATTTACAAGGAAAGAAACACCAAATAATATATATCCTAATTACATCCTGATTACAAGGACCCAAACAGGTAACTAAGCTAATTACAAAGGTCAACTCTCCAACAATTAATTTATGTCATTTGATATTTTTCAATTCATTCGATTCAATTCATTCAATTCATTCGATTCAATTCATTCTTCAATTAATTTATGTCATTTGATAAGTCCCAATTGGACCCTCTCCCCAACTAATAAAATAAAATTTTGGATGAGATACCAACCTTGGAACCCCCCTCCCTAACTAATAAACAAATTTTTTTGAGTGAGGTCGTAACACGGGCACTTGTTGTTAGCTCTACTCAATTATATTAAATGTTTTATTTATCAATATTTTATCTTAAGTACAAGTACAAAGTCGTTCTCCACTTACGTTTTAAATATATAACTTACACATATTCAATTGTCACCCAGAATTGATTAATTTTAATGTGATCAATTGATTGGTATTCAAATCAGACAATTGACTTGTTTGTAAACAAGATACCATGACCTTTTAAGCCTAGTAAGACCTCTTTGTCCATAACCACAAGTTGTTAATAAAGCCTAACTTTTTTTTTTATTAATAATAATTTAGTAGGAATAAAAAATATATATTTTTAGGGTTGATTTTGAAATTGTGAATAATCTTTATATATAAAGCTAACAACCATTTTTGGGGTCACAAGCTTCACTAAAAAATTTTGAACAAAAATGCTCCCAAAACAAAAAATTTCAAAAGCAACCCTAAATAATACAGGAGTATTTTTATCATTTTAAAAGTGTTTTTTAATAATTAATTCTTTTTGTACAGTTTGTTTATTTATTTATTTTTTAAATTAGTATCTCACAATATTCTAGTAATAATGTGATTCAATCAGTTATTCATTAAATATTATTTACTCTATTTTTAAACACATTCAAATCATCTTAAGAGGCGTGTAATAACTGTTATAAAAAAGGTTTTTCGCACGCGCACAATAATGTGATTAAATTAGTTGTCAAATGATTGTTTTTTTTTTAACAAACAATATTATCTACGGGGAGGAGTGAGCTTAACTTCACAATGGGCTAGCAATAATGTAATTCAATCAGTTGTTTATTAAATATTATTTTTTTTCTATTATTACTGTCAATTCAATAGAATGTAGATGGAAATTGAAGGATCAATTTAATTATGTGAATTCAACTGTTTTGATTGGTTTGTAAAGGGTTTTTTCTATCATTATCTAAGATTATTCATTTACTTCAAATATTTGACTTCCCTTATAAATATATTTAAAATATGTAAATCGCGTGTAGCACGCCGTGATTCAAAAAAATACATTATGCATGCACATGAGCGCGTGCATGAAGGCTAGTCTATTAGAAACTATATAGTATTCAAATCACAAAAACGAAAAGACTTTCCTAAGATTGGCATGATACTTTACTTTGGTTTCTAAGATTTAAAAGCAATAGAACTTATTCCAGAGTTTGTCCACCATCAATTATTTTGGTCATACAATGAAAAATCTCTGTTAAACAAGGTGAAAATAAGAAAAATACTCTTAATCTTGTCACATCCTTTTGGCCCATTTTATTAACTTGAGAGTATTTTTGTCATTTTTTGTTCTTATTTACATACCAAATGTGGAGAGTGGGATCTGAACCACGCCCTTTCGGATCAGAACCTTAATCTGGCGCTTAGACCAACTCGGCCATGTCCACGTGTGACTTGAGATTTGAACCGACCTTTAATATTCAAATACGTGTCAAGTGAACGGCCAATGAACGGCTACGGCACTTAACTTGCTAGGTTTATATTAGCAATAAGTCCAGCTTTTACCAACTTGGTCCCATGGTCTAGTGGTCAGGACATTGGACTCTGAATCCAGTAACCCGAGTTCAAATCTCGGTGGGACCTTTTTTTGGTTTCTTTCCTCTTGTTTTTTATTTTTTTTTCTCTAGGGCCGCAGCTCATAACTCACATTTGGTTTCCAAGGGTAAAGTAAAGTATCTATAATTTGGTGACTCTTTGGTACGGTTTTCATCGTGTGGGATGAGTGTGAAGCCAAATGGTACTAAAATACAGAGATTCGTGCTTTTGTGAGGTTGACTTGACCATCCACTTGGTTAGTCGTTCCACCGAACTTCCCAAGCGTTTTTTTCACAATAGAGGAGATGTGGGTGAAAGAAAAACAAATTTGCTCAATAATATGCGTTCTATATGTGATTGCATCATTGATAACAAGCAGTCTGAAAGACAAAAACAAGGTAACAACTACATTGCATCATTGATCCATATTCCACTCTATCTAACGTTAAATAAAGGCTCACGCCCACCTTCGAACAATCTCCTGAATTTGCTCTGATGACAAAACAGATCGATGCAGCACCATCAAAATTGGTATGTTCCATCTGCTGATGCAGTTGTAAGAACAAAACACCGTACATTAGCTTTGTTCTTTGTAAATCATATGCCAAAATAGCCATCAGAATTTCAAGAAGGCGTTTGCATTCGTCATCCTAATCTCTAATCCAGTTAGATAAAATCAACCATTCAACTTTTAGGTTCCAAAATTTTGATCCAACGATAGCTAAGAGATTTGGGCTTTTAACCCAATATCTTAGGTAACTGTCAAAAATGAATCCACATTTATGAGATGAGAAATCGTGTATATACTTATAAATAAGTTATGTTACTCCTGATATTTTCAATTGGTTTTATAGTAGAACTTCAACTTTATTCAATAACGTATCGCATATAACCACAAGGCTTACTAAATTACTACTTACTAGAATCCTCACCGGCTAATTCACACAATTTTCACATCAATAACAGAAGTTCCCGAGTATAAAAACAGCACCTTATATTCGCATCCTAAAAAAATGGCACATAAATTTACTTAAGAATAAAATGTAGTCACGATGAACGAAAGGCAAGAAACAAGAAATTTACCATAGTTAACGAAAAACGAGTAGTTGCACTTCATCATTTGGAGCAGCTGCTGCTACCTCGACAGCATTCAGGAGGAGCTCCGCAACTTTGAACTCATTTTTCAGAGCTTTGGCCATGGTTGCAAACAATGAGATTGATATAAAGAAGAGATTTTTCAACGTAACTGAAATACAAGATGGTACACCATCTATAAAAACACATAATGTAATACTCATATTCCCATCACAATAAAAAATTTCTCGATATAAAAACACAATTAAAAAAATAATAAGTTTTGTTCACAATTCAGAGATTAAATTAGGGCAAAAATTAAATGAGATTATGGTAATAAAGTCTTCATCTTCCATTTATACTTTCGAAAACATGACAACGAGAAATTAACGAACAAACTTATCTAATTTTAAAATTGTACTAAAACACAAAGATATTACAGAGGCGACATCCATCAATCAATCCGACATTCAGAAATCCTCGTCCATCTTGAACTCATGGGAGCCACCGTTGCCGTTGATGCTGTTCATCACCGACGCCTTCTGATACTCGCCGACGCGCTTCTCGAAGAAGTTGGTCTTCCCCTGCAGGCTGATCAGCTCCATCCAATCGAACGGGTTCTGGACATTGTACATCTTGCCGTATCCCAACGAGCCCAGCAGCCGATCCGCCACGAACTCGATGTACGTGCCCATCAGATCGCCGTTCATACCCACCAGCGCACACGGCAGCGCGTCGCACAC